TGGTGTGTCATTCAGTCTTAAACCTTTAATAGGAAACTTGCATAATGAATGGACACACCTATCAGGTTTGTTAAACGTTGTTTTCACGAAATGTCCTTCCTTACTGTTAGGACAACCTTATGTTTATGACTTGTATTTTAGTTTTTTATGATGAAGCAGTATTTTCATTCCATCATGATCTTTAGCAAATCTCAAAGTTTTAAGAGGAAAAAAATACCTCAGCACTTCCCCCATGTATCTTTGAAGAAGCAAAATATTCATTTGTTTACGTCCCTCTAAGGGCCCCTCAAAATGTTATTTAATGTGAAGAAGTTGTCCCTCACGTTGGCTACCTGAAAGTCTATTTGTAATATCTATTCATTCCACTAAAAATGTAATATAACAGAATTCACTCACACTGATAGCCTTATTGTGGTTGGTTTTGCTCTTGCTTAGCATTTGTATGATAAGCTTCCACACTGTGGTTTGTAAAATATGGTTCCTTAACATGTTGAGCAAGATGCACAGGGTTGAATATACAACATTCCTTTACATGGTCTTTACCCAGCCAGTACAGGTAGTCTTTGACTCACAACAGTTCATTTAGTGACTGTTTTTTCAGTGTTCACTGAAAAAAGTGACTTATGACCATTTTCCACACTTATGACCTTTGTAGCATCCTCATAATCGTATGACCAAAATTCAAGTGCTTGGTTCATACTTATGACCATTATTGTGTCCCAAGGTCATGTGATCAAATTTGCAACTTTTTGATGAGCAAAGTCAATGGGGAAGCCAGATTCACTTAACCATTTTACTAACTTATCAACTGCAGTGATTCACTTAACAACTGTAGCAAGAATAGTAGTAAAGTGGGGCAAAAATCACTTAACAAATGTCTCACTTAACAACAGAAATTTTTGGCTCAGTTGTGGTCATAAGTCAAAGACAACCTAAAATGATTTAATTCTATTATTCAAGCCTGTTTTGATCAAGCAAACATATCTTAAAGAAATCATTTCACCTCACTGGAATAAACCCTAAAAGTAGCTTGAGATCCCAAGTGAGATATGCAGACCAATCTTATACATTTCTATTCACGTTCGGTGGGCACAGGATTATATTATTAGCTAGTTTGAAACAATTGGAAATAAAGAAGTTAAGCTCTGCTCATAAAAAGGTAAAATGAAGTTTCTGCTATGATTTTGTTTCTTTCCATAGGAAATGTGTTCTGGTCTTCTAAACCAGGGGTGTCAAACTTGCGTTTTCACGTATCGAGACTTTTTTCCACCTTTGCTAAACTGGGTGTGACCAGTGCATGACACATCCAGCCCATGGGCCACTAGTTTGATTGCCCTGATCTAAACTTAATGCTTTTTTCTATATATAGCTGTCACATCAGGACACCTTTCCAAATATATCTAATTTATTTGTAGCTGCTTATTAGCTGCCATTGTGGTTGATCTTAAAGATATAATTCTACTCTGGTAAATAATAGTTTGCACTGTTTAATACATCTCTTTCTGGATTTATATTGTATTTGAAAATATTAAAGATTTGTCTCATATTATCTTGTAGCACAGAGAAGCACAGAATTCTGGGCCTATGTAAACCACAAAGAGATAGGGGCTTAAACAGTAGACAGAGAAGTTAGATATGTTCATATCCTAATTTAGTATCACAGTGACAGGAAAAAAAATTGGTCTTAAAATGGCAACTTGAGTTCAGGTGTGTGTTCAGGCACAAAGCAGTCTGATATTCCTGTTGTTTGACAACATACTTTTTGCCTTAATACAGGTAGTCCTCAACTTACAACAGTTCCTTTAGTGACCTTTCAAAGTTATAACAGCTCTGAAAAATGTGACTTATTACCGTTTTTCAGAGTTACAATCTTTGCAGCATCCCCATGATCATGTGATCAAAATTCAGATGCTTGGCAACTGGTTCGTATTTATGACTGTTGTTGTGTCCCAAGATCACATGATCACCTTTTTCAACTTTCTAACAGTCAATGGGGAAGACAAATTCACTTAACAACTGGGTTATTAAGTTAACTGCAGTGATTCACTTAACAACTGTGCCAAGCAAGGTCATAAAATGGGGCAAAACTCACTTAACAAATGTCTCACTTAACAACAGGAATTTTGGGCTCACTTGTGGTCGAAGACTAGCTGTATATAAAAACTACTTTTTTATTTCAGAATTCTCTCAAAAGGTTTTGGTTAGAAGGCAATTAGGATGAAAGGTACTCTTTACAACAATTTTCATATGGATCTGTCTAAAATCAATTTGAGTTTTGATTTGCTATAAATTCATTTATTGGAAGCCTGGATTGGTTTTGAAACTTGAATATGTATTTGCGATGTAATACATGCGTGTGACATTCACTGGATTAGATTTGAGAAAACCACCGATTTCCAAAGTTTTCTGTCCATTAAAAGCATTTTTAAAATTTTTTAAAACATTAAATTCATTTTTGTTTCCTGACAATCAAGAAGAAACCAAATAGATCACAAAAGATGTGCGGATTGCCAGAACTAGGTATTCATGTACCCAAACAAATATTCACGGAGGCAAACAAGAAGGGCGGGGGGATGCGGGGGGGGGGGGAACCAGTCGAGCAACGCTACGTATGAATCAGCCCTCCTTTCTGAGCTTTTGCCGCGTGACAACGCAATCCTGTCGCCACCGCGCCACCGTTGTCCAATTAGCAGCCCCGTTCGCTCGCGCGCCCCCAGCGGCAATCGAGGAGAAAGACAATACTTCCTCCCCCCCCCCCACCGCACTTTTCGTTTGCCGCGGCAGCCGTTTGGACCTCTCGCGAGACTTGCCGAATCTTCCCCTCCTCGCTGGGTTTCCACGCCACTCCCCCACATCCCTCCTCCCCGCCGGCTGTGCTCCTCCCCTTTCTCCTCCCTCCCCCCCTCTCTCTTGCGCCGCCGCCCCCGCCTGATCTGTCTGTGTCTGTGTCTCAGGGAGAGGGGAGGGGGCCTTCTCGGCCCTGCGCACTGAGCGATGTTTGGCCGCCATCGCGGCGGAGGAAAAGGAGGCGCAGGAGGCTGAGGGAGTCGCCGCCACCGCTGCCGCTTACTACCGCCGCTGCCGAGCGAGAATAGACGGCCGCCTGGGCCTGCCACGGCTCGGCTTTTTACTGCCTACTGTCTGAGTAAAGGTCGCCGGCGCCTCTGTTGTTGTCGCCGGAGGGAGCTTCTCCCCGATCCCTTTCCCTCTCCACTTCCTCCTGGTCCCCAGGAAGGGGCTCCGCTGTCGCCGAGCCCCAAAATGTCGAACCTGAGCAAGGGAACGGGCAGCCGGAGAGACACCAAAATGCGGATCCGAGCATTCCCGGTGAGTGAACTGAGGCTGCGTCGGTTGCGCAGGGCCTGGCTTGGCTCGGCCTGGCGAAAGGACGAGACGCCGGCCTCTCCTGGCTAATTTGCCTGAGAGCCTCGTTGCGCTCTTTCTCTCGCTCCTTCGACCCGGGCTGTCACTAACTCTTAAGGCTGGGGTCTCGGGTGGTGGCGGAGGAGGAAGTCGGCCTTGCAGCTAAGGGATCCAACAAGCCCGGGTGGCGCGGTCTGGCGAGCAATGGAGAGCCCAAGTTTCCGTCACAAGAAACGAAGAGGGAGGTTGGAGGAGCCGTCATTTGCCCCAGGGAAGGACGCTTCTCCCAGGCCTTTGTAAGGGATCTTTTAATTTCACTGCTAAGTGCCCGAGCCTTTTTTTACCTAGAAGAATAAATTAACTCTCGGCAATCGGCCTCGTACCTGTCGCGCCTCAGTCAGCGGACCCACCTGGGATGTTTGCAAAGTTGCTTTTTGGAGCCAGTATCGATAACCGAAACTGCACACAGTTTTGAAATCTGAAGGCAAAAACACCCTAGTTCTGAAGTAGGGCACAGTTCTCATTTGGGAGGAATCTGGGGGATGATTTCTTCCATAATTACTTCATACCTTGTGATGATTTCAGTTGACAGTTGCTTCAGCTGAAGGTTGGAAACCCAAACATAAGGGCATTCTCTCATCAAGGATTTTTGTACCCCAAGGCTTGGAGATTTTCAGTTGTTGAATCTGTTGGTGTACTCATATCTATAAGTTTGAAAGGCAATGGCTTTTCTTTTTGACTTAAGCAAAAATGTCACTATTGATTAAGGAATATAATGGCAAATAATACCTGGCCTTTCTCAAGATAGAAATTATGCCCATTTAACAAATAATTTGGCAACTGTCACTGACAACACTACAGCCTATAATTCCTCATTGACAATGTGCTTTGAAGCAGTACTTAGATTAAAAACAAAATCTTAGTATCCACTCAAGTTTACATAGAAATTTAGTGGTTTTCTATAGTTTCTCCTGAGTTCATGTAATTCACAATAATAACATGTCAGTTTTTTAAAAAAAAATTACATTGATTTTCTGCCTATTTTACTAAATTTGCTCTTAAAATGCTCTTTAAATCTTCTTGCACTTGCATTTTTATCTGTATTTGAGTAGATGCTTCCTAAGAACCAACGAAATACAGTAGTATTTTTCTGTTAATTTAATTGATTTTGAAGTGACTGTATAACCAGTGGAATGTTTTCAGGGATAAAGTATTACTCTTTTTAAGGAAGTTTTGTTATTTTTTACTTTAATCAATATGTCTACTATTAAAAAGACATTTAGGATTTTAATATGAGGAAAATGTTCACTGCATGTTCTAGTCGCCTGATAAGTTTGGTAAATGAGATAGATCTATGTAGCAAATACTTTAATGTATGCAAAAGTTAACTTGAACAAGAGAAAGTTTGTAGTCAGGATAGATATTCTTCATTCTGCTTTCTTACAGATGAGTCTGTAAAATGTTGGTGGGTGAACATTGTTCACAGAGTATTACTGTTCCTCCCATAAAATTGTTTCATATTAGTGAATGTTTAAAAGTTTTCTGATAGTAACTGGCTTAGAATTTTTACAACATGCATAGAGAAAGTTTATATATAGCCCCATATAAAAGTTAGTGATTCTGTGTGCAAATAATATCTATCAAAATTAATATATCAAATATATTTCTGATAATAGAGAATGTTTAGAGAACAGTAAAAAATCTGTGTTTTTTTTCCTGATGTATATGTAGCACTGACCCTCAGCATGGTATGTTTTGCTTAGGTGATATACAGATCACCCCACAAAAAAACCCCAAATATCAATAAAAAACGTAAATAAGTCTGCAGATTATGTTAAACTAAAACTGGATCTCATTATGGCTTAATACAATATGCATTTTAACTGGCTTCATCAGTAATATCACATTACTAGAATATGTACTAAGTCTTGACATTTTAATTTTAAAAAGTATTGAGTCAAGTTTCATGTAATAATTGTGTAGACAAATACAGATTTTTTGTACAATAACATAGAAATTTTTGAAATAGTTCTATTTTTTCTGGTTTTGTATAGAACAATATACTAAATGTAAACAGTTCAATTTGTATATAATCTCAGTATCAGTTAATTAATTAAATATGCAAATTAACAACCCTAGCTTATGATGAGTTGATGTGCATAGCACTTAAGAGCAGATTATTTATATTGGTCACTAACTAGTATGAACATATGATTAGGTACTGAATTAATTTATGAGGTTATGCTCTTATTACCAATTTTTTGAAGAGGTTCTTAATATGTTATTCTGATGAGATTAACCTGCTGCTCTCCTAAAAGTTTCTTAAATACTCCTTGGTCCGTATCTGTGGTCTCGTTTATACCTGTTTTCTTTGCAAAAGGAGCATACCTTGTATATTTTGTGCAAATCTTGTTGGCCTGTGAGCTTTCTTCCATCCTCCTCCCCCAAATAAGAAACTTAAGTGATAAATTCTTAAGAACATATTTTCTCTGCAAGGAGGAACCACTGGGGGGGATTATGAGTGGGCATGCATTTCAAAAATGTCATGTGAACAAAATGGAAATGTCCCATTGCCTTTAATTATATGCCATTGACAAATATACAATGTGTATTCTTTGAGTGTCTTTTCTCAGATGTAGTGATATATTTTCAACATTCTTTGAATCATATTTCTGTTGGTTTGCTTTTTATTCATGTTGTGTAATTACTTCATGTTTAATACATGGAGTCAGTCTGTAATTGTTTATGTGTCAATTTTCTTTGAATCCAGACATGGGTTTAACACTTTTCCAGGGTTGAGAGTTTTAGCACTGCAAAATATAATAGTATTGAAAATACAAAAACTTGTTCACATTGAATTAAATGAAGTTAATATGATTACCATCCAATCATATTGTAGTTTACCATCCATTTTATATTTTTCCTTGAAATCAGTTAAAAATTACAGTTAGTTACTATCTTTTGAAAGTCTGTGGAAGGCTCACTTTAGACTTCTGTAGTTTAGAAATTGTAAGTAACCTCTGCTGTAGATAAAACAGGAAAATATGTAGATTAATGTATTTGAGTTATTGTCTCCCTCTTTGAAAAACTCTTTGAAATATAATAATATGAATAATAGAAGAAAGGATGATCAACCATTTTTGAAGTATTTAAGGTTATTTCAATCCAGATAATACATTGTATCAAAAAAGATTACAGAGGTTCTTGTGATACTTTAAAAGATTCGCATTTATGATTGGTAACCGTTTATGAAGAAGTTTTCTGGCCTGGACCTTAAAATTTCAAATATGCAAAATGCTTCATCTATTGCATCATTCTATCCTAAATAATTTGTAGTTTGTGCCATTAAATCATATAGATTGACATAAGGATTGTTGATGATTATATTCACAGATAACATTTTTGTGTTCTCTGTGATCAGTACATATAGCTTATTTTTAGTCCACTTCTGCCTTGTAAACTAGGAGATCTCAAGAATACAGCCTTGGATTTCATTTGGACACTTTCAGTTTGACTCACTGATAGGAAATCAGGCCAGGTATAGTTTTGTCAATGCCTAAATAAAATTCCAAGAAATGTTTGCTGAATAATTCTATTTATGATGAACTAGATAACGTTGCACAAAACATTCAGTAAAGATGCTTCATGAAGCAGATTCCCCCCCCCCCCCCAAAAAAAAATCACATGTTCTTTAAGTATTAAAACATCTTTATCCTCTATGAAACTTGGAATACAGGCATATATAGTTGTTTCATTAGTAATCACTGGTAATGTTTATACCTATGTACATATGAGTATATTGCATGGAAAGCCTTTGGAGCAACTGTCTTCTGGAGATGACTGCACTAATAGTTTGACATATTACACCAATATTCTTCATAAATGTTTTGCATAACCTTTCTAGATATAAATATAAAGGATTTTAGTAGGATTCCAGATTAATTATATTTCTTATAATGGAGGCAGAAACAGTAGTTTGAATTATATTGTAATGTAATTGCTTTGTTTCACTCATTGATTTGCCATTTTTGGCCTAAAGTGTTCTTATCCTAATTTTTAGATTTTCAGAATGTGGTACCTGATCAAAATGTAGGTCATCATTACCATATTTATATAGAGAAAATTATATAAAATGAAAGCTATTATGGTTTACAAACTTGTTTGTGGTTAATTAAAGTAACGACTAGTAGCATTCTCACATTACACTGAGAACACAACCAATTGTTTTGAACTATGAACAATTTAAGGTAACAATTCTTTTTTACTCATTGTTACAGAAACTATCAATTATATAATGTATGAACAGTAAATTCAAAATCAAGTTTAAGTTTCAATTGTTTATGCAAATTCATGTTAAAGTCCTTTAGAAAACAGTCATTCTTTAGATTCATATTTGCATGTTTTTAAGTTCCATAAACTGTTTTCTGTTTTTTTAGACTAAGTTTATAAAATGTTTCCAGTATCCAAGCAGACATAATTAATTGTTCAGATGCTACCAAACCAGGGAGATGTAGGCGATAAGGAATCTTATACCTTGCTACTTCAAAGTACTTTGCCTCTGGTATTAGTTGCAGGTTTGTGAAAAAAACACCTGAAGTAATTATATCCAAGACAAGATATTAGAGAAAGGATACTTCAATTGTTGATCTACTTTTTATATAATTATTACTTATAAAACTTATCACTAATTTAAAGTAATTGGGCGGTTGAGAAGAAACATGATTATCTTGTTCCCAGCCTTTAGCATGGATCCATAAATTCTGATTCCATATTTGGTGATATCTGCAGGGGTGGGGGTGGGGGCGTCAAAATAGGCATGATGGTGGTTGCAGCAGTGTGGTTAAACAGTGTGCCTGTTTGTACATGTATATGATGTCAATGAAACTCCATTTTTATGACCTCGTAATCCCTGACTACAAAAATGGTTAGGCTTTGATAGTCCTATGACAACTGACAGTTTGCTT